CCTTAAACCTGACCCTGTACTCCACCGGGAGCCAGTGCAGTTGGTAAAGCACTGGATGAATGTGATCCAGCTACCTGTCTTGAAGGAAGACAGGGAATATTTCTTTTTTTATATAAAAATAAGTAATTATTACCATCTCAGGGAGGGTATACCTTGACAGTAGCATAAATGCAAACCCACGTAGTCTGTGCACAGCTGTTGAATGTTTAACTTCTGATATCCTATCGTAGGCAATTATGTTGTTGTTGTTTTTCTAGTCTAAGTTTAACCCAAGAGCAAATACCTTTTTAGGGACGCGGGTGGCACTGTGGGTAAAAACCTCAGCGCCTAGGGCTTGCCGATCGAAAGGTCGGCGGTTCGAATCCCCGCGGCGGGGTGCGCTCCCGCTGCTCGGTCCCAGCGCCTGCCAACCTAGCAGTTCGAAAGCACCCCCGGGTGCAAGTAGATAAATAGGGACCGCTTACCAGCGGGAAGGTAAACGGCGTTCCGTGTGCTGCGCTGGCTCGCCAGATGCAGCTTTGTCACGCTGGCCACGTGACCCGGAAGTGTCTGCGGACAGCGCTGGCCCCCGGCCTCTTGAGTGAGATGGGCGCACAACCCCAGAGTCTGTCAAGACTGGCCCTTACGGGCAGGGGTACCTTTACCTTTAAATACCTTCTTGGCTCTTAAGTCCTCAGAAGAGAGGCTGTTGCTGTGTAAAGAAATGATGCACACAGTAGAGAGTTACAATGTGTTGATTAATTAATTAAAACCAGCTACCGGTAATTAAAAGGGGAAATTTGGGCTCTGGTCCTTAGTGTGAGAACAGGGAAGTTATACAAGCGTGTTCTTACTGACATCTGCAGAATGTTGGACCAGCATCCTTGGTAAGATCCTGGGCTGTATCTCCTATTTTATTTACCGTATGTACAATTGCTTTAACTAGGGGCCCCTGATCACTCTGCTCTCTAACCCCAGCTACCTGCCAACTCTTTTGCCACCCCCCCATGCTTTGCAGTGCATTTTCCTGTCATTTTCTTTACTCCAAAAGTTCTATTTCAGGAGGCAAGCAGGTTTTTTTGTTTTTTATTATTATTATTATATATCCCAACTTTCCTTTAAGGAACTCAAGGTAGCATATACAGTCATACCTCGGGGTTACAGCCGCTTCAGGTTGCGTTTTTTCAGGTTACGCACCCGCCAAAACCCCAAAGTACCAGAACGGGTTACTTCCGGATTTTGGCAGTCGCACATGCGCAGAAGCACTAAATCACACTTTGCACATGTGCAGAAGCATCTGCGCACGCGCGGGTTGCGAACGTGCATCCCGCACGGATCACGTTCGCAACCCGAGCGTCCACTGTATATATTTCTCTTCCCTCCATTTAATCCTCACAACCCTGTAAGGTAACTTAGGCAGTGGTGGAGCTTCATGCTCCGGCACTGGGGTCAGAGAGCAGGTGGGGGCGTGACTGCCGTGCGCCCCGGGGTGTGTGGTGTGCATCCCGTGGGCATGTCATGCCGCCCGCAGGGGTGTGGCGCGCATCCCAGGGGCATGACGCACTGCCTGCAGGGGTGTGGCGCACGTCCTGGGGCGTGGCGCCCAGCGCGGGGGAGACAGCCGCGATGGCACCCCACCGGGAACGTGGTGCCAGGGGCAGTGCGTTCCCCCCACCCCCCCTTCCTCCGCCAGTGAACTTAGGTGGGTTAGGCTGAGAGACTGTGGCTGGCCCAAGATCACCCAGTGAGCTTTGTGGTCAAGTGTGGACTAGAAACCTGGGCTCCCAGGTCCTACTCTGACACTTTAGTCACCATCCTACCCTGCATTGGCTCTCCTTGTTTGTTACACAAGAGCACCAAATCGTTTGCACAGCCAAAATCTGGCGGAATGTAAGCGAATCCTACCCTAACAGTCTGCAAGTGCCCAGTGTCAGGGATTATTAAGGAACACACTCAATCATCCTGATCCCATTAACCCCCTTTCTTACATTATGATGATTCTTGTGACACGAAAAGGAAAAGTAGTTTTTTGCCTATAAGAGAAACTTCATCATTCATATGACAAAGCCAGTGCCTTTACTAGGCCAAACAAAATTCCACAAAATAGCGTTCAAGATTTTGGATTCTTCTTTAAAACAACAACAACATTTTAGTTAAGATTTTGTGGTAAATCAGAACAAGTGAATGAAAACACACAAAAACTTAAGATCCTAAAAATAAAAAGGTTAAACCATTCCAAAATCTACATTGCATCCCATCACAGACAGGAAAGAGGTGTACAGAGCAGAGGCAGAAAGTCCTTTTGAACAAACTACATTCGTTCACCAGATGGAGCCTCAGTACAAACGCAAAACGCGAGAACATTCAGGGAACCAAACCTTACTTTGCATTTTGATGCATGTAAGCTCAGCCATATGGTTTTTTCTTATTATTGGAGGTAAGGATGTACAGTGGGTAAAGATGGAAAAAAACTGAGACGGATGGGGTTCCATTAAGCATCTCTGCTTTTGGGAAACATAAATTCCAGTCTCTGCAATGGCTGGATAATCAGTTCTCATTTGCATTATTTAAAGCTTAGATTAAGTGGGTACCAGGGCTGTCCCCACTTATCCTGCTACAACACCACCCACTTTTTATGAATAAAAGCAGGACGTACTCTATAAATTCATGCAAACCCTACGACTTGTATTGCCTACTTATTTTTATGTAAATTTTGTTGTTTAGTCGTTTAGTTGTGTCCAGCTCTTCGTGACCCCATGAACCAGAGCACGCCAGGCACTTCTGTCCTCCGCTGCCTCCCACAGTTTGGTCAAACTCATGCTGGTAGCTTCGAGAACACTGTCCAACCATCTCGTCCTCTGTTGCCCCCTTCTCCTTGTGCCCTCCATCTTTCCCAGCATCAGGGTTTTCTCCAGGGAGTCTTCTCTTCTCATGAGGTGGCCAAAGTATTGGAGCCTCAGCTTCAGGATCTGTCCTTCCAGTGAGCTTTTATGTAAATAGTATCCCATTATAACAGAATTTGGGAGACAAACCTCTCCCCTGGCTTTTAAGTTGCCAACTACATTCATTTCTTCTTTGCCCAGCTATTAAAAAAAAGAAGCTACAAGAGAATTACCCTCATTTGAATGAATTGCTATGGGCTTCTTGGGCCCACAAAAGTTTCATCATTGCATAAAATTTTGCTAAATGCTACTTCTGCTTCAGACCCAAATCGTAGGTCCCAGCTGGGACGTTCAGGTAGAAGAAGACAGGTAGAAGGTGACGGGAAGACCTCCGCCCAAAACCCTGGAACAGGATTGTTATTTTCCTGCTTACAGAAGACAGTGTCTATTTCAGATGTCCTGTTTTTTGAAGGACTGGTCAGCCCAAGTTCCATTTAAAGGCAAAGAACTGCCGGAAGGGAGAGCAGGAGATTTGCAATTGCTCATCAGCAGCTGACACCTGGACAGGTAATCTGGCCACAGTCTTCCAAACCATAGTAAGATCTATTTTATTTCTATTTAAATTATAGTAATTATTTCTAGATTTGCAGCTATACGTGTACATGGGCATAAGCAAATGCTATGCAAATCAGTGTCCTTACTCGTCCTCTTTATTTGTTGACGCATTTTCTCTTTCATTCCGTTTTTGGCAATGCACAAGGGTTCACCTAGCCCTGGAAAGCTTCTGCTGGAGAGAGCAGATTACGGTATATTGGGCTAAGCAACTTGTGCTGCAGGTATGAGGCTCTAAAAGCAAGCCATTTCATGCGCAAGAGTTGTGCCTCCAGTTTTTATTCAGAGGTTTGGGAAACTGCTCCGAGGAGAAGGCTCAGGGCCACTGTTGTTTTCCTTACAAAAGACCATGCAGCCTTCTTGTTTTTCTGCGAAGAAATACCACTACGTGGAATGAATATATGAAGGTTTTCCCCAACGCCCCCCCCCCTCTTTCCCTGAGCATTAAAATGCAACACACAACATGTACTTTCTAACTTTGTTCTGTCTGATTCCAGGAAACGTGGTCCTGAATTTATATTTAAGATGCTTGATTGGTATAGAAATATATTGCAATTTCTTTTCATTAACATTTGTCACTTGGCCTTAAATATTGCTGGTAGGAAAAGCAGCTTGGAAGAGGCTGCATTTAGTCTGGGCACCAAGCCAAATTGCACTTCCAATCCCCCACACCCTGCCAGCCATTACTGGAATTAGCAATAACCCTGAAATCTTTGATGTGTGCAGTGGGTTTTCAGCAAAATCTCACTAAATTTGACTGTGCGGTTTCCCCCATCATTTCCACTGCATGTTCTTCTTACAGGTACTTATACCTGTTTCTAGGTCTCTTAGCTGTTTTGCATGAACAAATAGAAGCATCATTATTTATTTTGTCTGCTTAGAGCACTTCTAGGCTGCATTTAATCATAATAATTGTAATTATAAATACTCAAAGGTTTGTTGTAGCTTATACTGAGAAACAATTGCGGGTTCCATCTTTTGTAAGTTGCTATGGGTGTAACTGACTGTAGAAATGCAACAAACCAGTAAACAATAAAGCAATAAAACAATGATTAAATGCCACATGCTTTGGAGAAATAAAAAGGCTGGATAATGAAAGGATGAAAGAGCTGGTGCTTCTTTCACTTATCACAATCTGTAAGCAGGGTGCCATCACTGAAAAGGCCCTCTCTCCATTTGCTACCCATCTCATCTCAACTTGGATTTGGGATAAGTGCATACGGGAAAATACAGTTCCCTGTTTCCCAAGCTGTTTAGGGTTTTAAAAAATTAGGTCACATTGATATGAGCCCAGAAACACACAGGACACCTGTTAAGTTGTGGGTGAACATATCAGACGACACAGTGATTCTTCAAACAGCTCTTGTTTATTCACAGGCTGAAGGGTTCAGCCAGCCTGCTGACCGGTATATAGAGCTGAAGGGTTCAGCCAGCCTGCTTATATAGAGCTCCACTAGAACGCAACAGTAACCATTTTCTGTAACTATCCAATCACTGAACGTCACTTTCAATCCCTTATTTGCATATGTGGACCTGAGTGAAAACTATCTACAGTATCCTCCTGCTGGCCCAGGGTGAGAATTTCAGTACATAACAACACAAATGCAGATCTTTTAAAACAGGACTTAGAAAGGACCTATATGTTTAGAATGGCAAGCTCTGGATAACCACCAATCAAAGTCTCTGGACTGTCTTCAAGAGCTGCCCCATGTACAACTCAATGTAGTAATTTAACTTGGATTTTTAAAAAGCATTGATAATAGTGGCAAGTATGCATCTTTGTAGCAGTTATCCAGGAGGGCATTCTGGCAATTTGTACATTAAGAGCATAGGAGACTGTTTATAAAATTTATAAACTCCATCTCTCTCTCTCTCTCTCTCTCTCTATATATATATATATGTACTCGCTCCACAAACAAGTTTCTGAAAGCGAAATACAAATACAAAGCAAGCTAAAACAATGATTATAACCATTTAAAAATACAAATATACAAATTCAAAACAGCAGCAAAAAGAAAAGAAAGAGAAAAACCCCGGAAGTGTAGCACTAGCAATACATTAAGGTGCAACAGACTCAAAAGCTTGTTTCAAAAGGAAAATGTTTCAATTGCTATGCTAACAGAAGACATAAAAAGTGGAAGATAACCTAAATGTGTAATGCCTCGCACCACTATAGAAAAAGCTGTTTTGTAGGTCGCCACCAGCTTTGCCTTGGAAGAGAATGTCTGGTTTCATATCTCTAATAAACTATAATAGATAACTGATAGGTAATCAGTTCAAATAAAGGTGCTACCATAAAAATAACATTTGAACATTAAGGCAAGGAGCAGAGAGGAAGATATAAGGTATGATTTCACCATCAACACAAAAACCCCTGCTAATTAGTTATACCTTGCAAGTATTCATTGCTACCGCTAGAGGCCACCTGTTCACAGCAACCAGTTCAAACACAGCTCTGTTTTTTCCTCAATCTCGTTTCAATGTTTGGCCTATCTTTGATAAACCAAGTAAGGGCTCATCCACACTTTCGTTTAACCTGTATTTTAATCACATTGTGTGCAGATTAATTCCCCCGGGGTACAAGAGCTTTTCTCATTGTTACGTGGATGTGCCTTGCAAAGGTCTGATCTCAACCCGCTGAATCAGAGCTTATTGAATGCATGGGAAATCTAAATAGAGGTTTTGCTTAACTGAGCGTCAATTCAGCGGGTGAGATTGGATTTTTGCACAGCTGTGAAACTTAGAAATGTTCTCATGGTACCAGGTGGTTCTATGAGCTCCTGCTATCAATACTACTTGAGCCTGCAAAAGTTTCAACCTGAACTTAGGGCCCTTCCATTAATGGTCATTTGTGCTCATTGTGATATCAGCACAATTATACACAATCCCACTTTCAATACTTTTTGTGCCTGCGTATGTTTTGGGCTAGACATGTTGCTTCATTTTCAGTTGATACATGTCTTGTAGCTTCTTGCTGAAATCCTGTAACTTCTCATACAGCAAATGTTCCGTGAGGGTTTTTGTTGTTGTTGTTGGTCCCCCCCCCCATGTTTGCTGCACCATAGCACAAAAGCATCCCTCCAGATGACAACAACACAATAACACTGGGGAAGCATCACAGAAACAACTAATAAAGCAGAACGATGTGTAGATGGTCCAGCATCAACCCGCGACTAAGGCGTTATAACTGCATCAATGATGTGTTGCGGAATACGCCTGTGGGGAATATTTTGAAAGCAGATATGAAGGGAGGGAATTCGGCTTTGAAAATACAGCTCTGTATTTAAGGAAAAGAGAGAGAAATCTACCACGCTGAAGAATAAATATTGTAGGGAAGCCAAGGAATTCTTACAGCCCAACATGCTGTAGAGTCTGTTCATTTAGCTTACTCGAATTTCTGGAGTTCACCAGCATCTGTGCAAGATTTGGAGCACTGTGGTTCTCAGCGGATGGGTGGAGGGCATTCCTAGGGAGGCACAAACAGATGCCAGCAAAGGCACATGCTCCCCACCAACCCCATTCCCAAGGGTGTCCGTGCAGAGATTTGTAGCATGAACTTATGAATGCCTACTCAAAGACATACCAATAGAATTAGTATGGCCAAAGCTCAGTGATACAGGATGTGCTTTGCTGGAAGGTGGTTCCAGATTCAGGCACCAGCATCTCCTGTTAAGATTCCTCCTGTCTGAAGCCCTGGAACACACTGACACTGAGAGTAGACACTACTGAGATAGGTATAAGGAGGTTCTATGTACTCAGAAGTAAGTCACGTTATCTCATAAATTGGGAAGGACCAAAGCTCAGTAGCAAAGCATCAGCCTTGCACGCAGAAAGTCCAAATTTTTATTCCTGGCATTGCAGGTGGGGCTAGAAATGTCCACTGTTTGAAACCCTGGAGAGCCACTGCCAGACAGAGTAGGTAATGCTGAACTAGATGGACCAGCTGTGTGCCTTTTTTTCCTGACTTGAGTGGGACTCATTTATAAGCGAGTGCATATATCACAGATCAGCAACCAACTGCATGCAGCCTCAGCCTCATGTTGTGAAACTTTCAACACCTCTTGAAGCTGCCCTCGTCTTCCATTCTATCAGAATTCATGTTCATTTCTTCTTTATTTCCCCCGGCTTTTAAATGCACCCTGTTCCTCTTTCGTTGTAGCTTCCAAGCTGAAATGAGCAGCATTTTATTTGTTGGAAACAAATTTTGCTGTTGTTGATTTAACTCTTTTCCAGGTTGCATGGCTTAGAGAAAAGAAGTTCCACCCACCTCCCAGCTGTCGGAGAACAAATTAGTAGGCTTCTACTGTGTGTGTAGCAAACTAAAGCCATAAATTACTTTGTTTTCCAGAACAGTAGCTGTACTGAACTGTTGTTGTTGTTTAAAAAATCCTCTGTACAGTTAAGATCCCAGCAAACACAGTGGGACTGACTTCTCAGGTTGGGAATTCTCATCTGAGATAGCTTTGGTGAAAACTGAAGCAAACTGGTCTTTATTCTGGATTCATTAATACAGAACACTTTTTCTCTCAGACTTTGTCCACAGCTGGAATGCAGCTCATGACAGATTATCTGGAGGGGATGCAGCCTTCAAAAACATTGCCCACTCTGATGTATAGCACTGAACTGAATCCTGTTGAGATGGCAGCCTAAGGCATTAGTTGATTAATCTGTTTTAAGTTATTTATTAATTAACTTCACATCCTGCCTTTCCTCCTCCAAAGGAGCTCAGGGCAGCAGCCCAGGGCCATTGAGGGGTGTGGCCTGAAGAGAGGAAGCTCGTCTGAGGAGAGTCCTGAAGGCCAAAGAAAGGGGTTCCAAGATCCACATTTTGTTATTGAAGCTGAAGTTCAATGTCCCTCCTTGACAGCACACCTCTTGTTCCTAAAGCTACTTTGATTCTGATTCATTCCTGTAATAGGAAATGAAGACAATATTGGGAGCAAAAATGAAATATGAAAAACGGTGCGTCCATCTAAAAAACAGCGGTAATTTCGTTAATGAAATTGTAAATCATTTTACACTTTCTTTGCTGTCTTGAAAATCCCCCTATACCGAGATACAATCTTGCAAATGTGAGACTAATTGATCAATCAGCTGAAGGGTAGAAGATGACCAATCAACTAAAAATGCACAGTCTTCTCCAGATACATTCATTCATTCAGCTTGAATGTTCCCTACCAATCACACATGTGTCATCAGCTGGGTTTGTGTTGGTCTCTCACATTTCTTACAGAGCAGACAACAGCAGAACTCTTCTGGGCAGAGCCACTCAAAGTGTGGTGCTGGCACTGGATTTCCCCTATGCCCCATTTTGCCTGCGAGTGATTTCTCCCAAGTGCATTGATTTCCCCCATACTCTCAATTTGGCACACACGTTGCACTGCAGTTCCACTCTGACGTCTGCTTTCCCTTCCCGTCTGCACAAGCCAAAAAGCTATGTGCCCTATCCAGGTCCTAAGCTGTGTCCGGGATCACCACAGGCTATGTTCTCAAGTAACCTGATCCTGAGCTGCATAGGGGGCTTATATGTTAGCACCAACACTTTGGACTTGTCCCAGTAGCAGATTGGCAGCCTGTGGAAATCCAGCAAGCAGGGTGTTTTATGCCGGCAGTAGCTCACTCCCACAAGCAACCAAACCACTGTGTTCTGCACCTGCAGAACAGCCCTGCAGAACATAGAGCACATTTGCAGGAATCCAGCAGTGAGGAGCATGGGCAACTGTGGTCAAGCTATCCTGATCTAGGAACAGCCATGGCTGCCTTATCAACCAAGTCGGAAAAAGGCACTCCCATTCATCAAAGACACCTGTGTCTCCGGTGACAGAGTTGGAGCCAGGATCACCCCCAAACTATGCCTATGCTCCTTCAGGGAAAGTGTGACCCCATCCAGTGCAGGTAACTTACTGACGTCCCAGATCCAGGAACCACTATCACACACAAGCTTTCATCTTGCCAGGATTCAGCCTTGGTTTTCTAGCCTTCATCCAGCCCACAACTGCACCAGCCGTTCCTGATTCAGATGCTACAGAAAAATATGAGTTAGGTATCATTGGAGTTCGGATGACACCTTGCTCCCAAACTATTAAGGTTCACTCCCAATGGGTTCATGTAGGTATTAATCATTGGAAACAATATAGTGAATAATAGAATCATGGAGTTGGAAGGGCCTTCAGGATCATCTAGTCCAACCTATGCAGCTGTCCCATATAGGGATCAAACCTTCAACCTTGGCATTATCAGCACTGTGCTCTAACCAACTTTGCTCTCCAGTGCCCTGAGATCCAACGGGAGTTGTTTTCCAAGAGCATCTGGAGGGCACCAGGTTAAACATTTGCTTTCACTTCAGTTTTCCATGAGTTTTATTTAAAGAGGAGTGTTTTGACAAGCTGGTTCCAGTTTTTAAACTACTGTATGTGTTTTGTTGCTGGTGGTGGTATTATATAGCACTCAGGTCTCTGGGTGCTCCGTTTCGAAAAGGTGCTGAACGGACAGCTCCCTTATTCTAAACCTCTGCTTGCCACAGGAGATCCTCAGTCTATTTAACAAGGAAGAAGAGCCACTTTCAGGCTCGGGACTTGGACGCAGAGGCCCAGGGCTCCTCAGCAAGGGGTTCCCCCACACGCAACAGCTCATCTCACATTTTGCATTCAGTGGAGTAATGCATTTTTCCATCTAAAAACCAACCCACCCACATGATCATTATGTCAAGAGGCTGCTGCCTTATACTGCACCACTGAGAGATCTATTCCATTTCCAACCCTCTGAGGGTGGTGGCCACCCACAGAGTGCCACCCATCAGCCAGCGCCAAGCCAAACATTATTCCACTTAGCAAAGCCCAAGAGCCTTTGAATAGAAGTTGTCCTTGCCAATGGCTAGCCAACCAGCCCGATTTGCCAGTGAGCTCAAAAATCTCATTCCGCAGCAACCCACCTTAAAAATATCCATAACGATGTTTTTGTAGTGTGCATACACCTGTGTCAAAATGCTACCTAACTCCTAAGGCAGCAAGAGCAACCAGGTAACCACCTGTTTGATTGCCCTTGGTGTGGTGGAGGTGCATTTTAGCTTGAGAAATCTGCCTTCTCTGTAGCCGGCAGTGTGTGGTTTTGTTCACATGCTTAAGTCGCACAGAGCTATTTGCTTTGTTAGCATCTGCCCACGATGCACTTAGGCAACCTCTGATCCTGGAGGTAATATATAGTCACTAGAACAACTTGTAGCCATCAAGAGGCTTATTCTTCCAAACTTTCTTTTAATCCCTTTTTAAAAGCCATCTAAGGTGGTCCCCTTCATCACATTTGGTGGGAAAGAGTTCCATGGTTTAATAAAGTGATGGGTAAATACTTCCTTGGAGTGGGAGGTGCTGACAGTCAGGATAGAAAGTCGTGGGTTTGATGGACCAATGTTTACTTCTTCATACATATCTTCCATGTAATGTATTTTAAAATACGGTATACACCGACAAATCGGACATGCATGCCAATGAAACAAGCAAGCATTTTGCAAACCCGCGGGTCAGTGAGCCCGGATTTGATTCTAGCTCCCTTTTAAAACATACCCTCAGTGGTATCTTCACATTCGCTTTGGTTTTTTGCCACCATGCAGTGATGTGAAACCGCCCTGAGCTGCTAAGCCTCTTTCGTGCCTCCTTCTAAAGTAGGAGCCCTGCCTGGTCGCTCCGACGTAACCAGAAGCATTGTCCTGACTTAAACCCTCCCCAAAGAGCCCAAGAACCCGTTTTCAATGCCAAGCCTGGGAACATCAACGCGCCTCTCTGGGCACGTGCAGAGTGCTTTTCTCCCGGGGGAGCAGCGACGGACCAGGGACACGAGGCGAAAGGGGGCTTGCCGGGTCCCCTCCATTTCAGAAAGGGAGCCTCGAAGCAAAAAGGGGAAACCGACGCCGAGCCCCGGCAGCCCCTCGCGCAGAAGCGGAGCCAAGCTGCCAATCCACGCCCACCCGACGGTTTAAAAGCCTCCTTCTTTTCCCATCCCAGTGGCAGCAAAGCAGTGGGCAGTCCCCGCCCCTCCTCCCTCCAGCACCGCCACCACTGGGGGAAAACTGGAAAAAATAAGCCCACCCACCGCCCAATCGAAGGGAACAAAGGCGCGCCATCCGCTCGCCTGGAATCCTCTCTCGGCTCCGTCGCCCCCCGTCTGGTCTCCTCCGCTTTCCCTCTCCGTTAGCAGGGCAGGAGGTAAGCAAAGGCAGCTCCATTCCCTCCCCCCCCAGACCCGCCCGCCATCCCTTTCCCTACCCAGATCCGCCTTGCAGTCGGGGAGAGCCCCGGCCCGTGGCTCCCCTCTCTTTCCCGCGCTGCTCGTCGAGTCCCCGCGCTCGGACCAGAGGCGCCTCCGTCCCGCCCTCCGTGCTTCCCTTCCTCCGCGCGTCCCTCCCTTCCTGCTGCGCCAATGCCTGGGATAGGGGCCGTGGGAGCTCGGTGCAGGCACCGCCCGAGGAGGCGCCCCAACAAGGCCGAGGACGGCGGCGGCGGCGGCGGAGGAGCCCACCCGGCCGCCTGCTCCTCCTCCGGGGAGAGCGCCATGGACGCAGCCATCTGGATCTACCAGTTCCGCCTGATCGTGCTGGGCGACTCGACGGTGGGCAAGTCGTGCCTTTTGCACCGCTTCACCGAGGGCCGCTTCCCGGGGCCCATGCACTCGGATCCCACCGTCGGGGTGGATTTCTTCTCCCGCCTGGTGGAGATCGAGCCGGGCAAGAGGATCAAGCTGCAGCTCTGGGACACGGCGGGCCAGGAGAGATTCAGGTATAGCAGGCGCCCCTTCCCGCCCTCCTCCCGAGTAATATGCATGCTGTTTAACCAAGGGGTGTCTCCAGAATCTCTCAACCCCCCCCCCCACTACGCTGACAAGAGGCTTCTGAGTATATGCAGAGTGCCTCCTCTTCGCCGCAGATCAGCAGCTCCGTGGATCAACCCCACCCGCCTTTCCCGCTCAGGGCGTGTTCGTGCGTGTTAACCCCTTGAAGGTAGTTAACTTTTTGCAGGCATCCTTTGCCAACCTGCTGTCTCCCCAGTTTTCGGACTACAACTTCCATCAGCCACGACCAGTGTGGTCAATGGTCAGGGATGTTGGGAGTTGTAGTCAGGAAAAAATCTGGAGGGCATCATGTTGACAAAGGCTGCTTTGAATGTGCTGATTCAGATCTCTAGCAACACCAGTGTAATTAAGTTAGCAGAAGAGCAGAGTCCCCAAGGCTGGCCCTAACATTAGGCACAGTGAGACAGTCACCTCAGGCTTCAGATTTGGGGGATCATTTGAAGGCAGTAATTAACTTAGGATGGCTGTGTTTCTACCCCTAGGGAAAGAGGCTTGTGGGGTTTTCTGCCTCAGGTGCTTAAATAACTTGGTCATCTACAGGCACTATGCAGTTTGACTGGGAAGTGAACACCACTTGATATTCTGCCTCAGGCAGCAAAATACTTGTGCTTTGTGGCACCTAAACAGGTTGAGTGTGGCATCAGCTTTGGTGGACCGGTGTTGACTTCATCATTGGGTGCATGAAATGTGGTTCTTGGTGGGGGTATATATATAACACACATGGACATACGCACTAGAGAGGAAGAAATGTCAACAATGGGGCCTCTCACATTTCAGGGCATTTGGGCCTCAGCTCTTTTCCGCATCCCATAAAGCAGGTTCTAAACCACAAAAGCTATGCCACCCTCCAAAATCTGCTTGTCTCCAAGGAAGTCTTCTATATTTGTTCTAACAGGCTAATGGGGCAGCCCCCTATGAAATTAGTCACTGTTGTATTCCAACTACCATTCCTGTGTCCACAACCACCCAGCACCTCCGTCATCCAAGGCTTCTTTCTACCCAAGGCTTATTTTCAGTGAGGCTTTTTTTGTTTGCTTCATTCTCTTTCTCACAATAAGAACCATAAAATTTGGCTTCAGGGCGGACCAAATAAAGTGCATAGTTAACTTGGGGAACTCAGTGCCACTGGACAGCTTTAAAGGGAGAACAGACAAATTCATGGTGGATAAGGGCTATTCATCATAATGGCTGTTACTAACTCCAAGATCAGAGTCAGAAAGCCTCTCTGGGCAACAACAGGAGGAAAGGAATATTGTCCTCATTAAGAGCATAAGAAGAGCCTACTGGCAGTAACAACAACAACAACTTTATTATTAAGCCAACAACAACAACAACAACTTTATTATTAAGCCACAAGCAGGACCTGCATGCAACAGTTTTCTCCCTATTTGTGATTCCCAGCAATGTGTATTCAGAGACATGCTGCCCCCAACAGTGATGGTAAAACCCAGCCATTGCATGAATCACCTAAGAATCTGTCCAATCCTCATTTAAAGCCATTTAAGTTGGTGGCCAATCACTATTGCTTGCGGAAGGGAATTCCATAGATTAACTCAGGTCCTCCATGTGGGCTTCCCTGGGCATCTAAGTAGGCCCTCTAGGAAACAGGAAGCTAGACTTGATAGACATTTGGTCTGATCCTTGTATTTTGGATTGGTTCCCCAGGCCTGCACTTCCAGTGTTGCTGCTCTCAGGACAGCTAACAAAGAATAAAAGTGATGTGAAACTACTAAAATCAAGCAAGAAAATAACAACAACAGAGCAGCAGGACAATAATGCAAGCATAAAAACGCAGCGGCAGAATAATATTCAGACTGAAACTTAGTTTGAAAAAGGCCTAGGTTTTATGTTTTTTTGTGTGTGTGTTTTTTTAAAGGCCTATGAACAAGTCCCAGCTCTTGGATATGTGAAGCAATAAGAATAGGAGTAGAAGATATTTTATTCACCTCTCAAGGGCAACCATCCCCCAGACAGGTGGATGGGTAAGAAATCCCAGTCGGAGGATGTGCCTTTGCCTTCCTTCCCAAACTCTTGTTAAAATGAACTGCTGATTCCAGCTCCTAAATTTCCGTGTGCTTCCTTTGCAGAATTGCTTCTGCGGGGCCAGTTTGACTCCACCTTTCCCCATCTTCTGTGTGAATAATTGGGAAGTTTGATTCTGTTTGCCAAGGCAAACCTTGGTTTTCTGTTCCAATAGGTGTGTTAGTTAACATAGCAAAGTTGGGATGGTTGTGTTATCAACAACCATTGCTGTTATGAACACCCACTTTGCTTATCTTAATCTTTACATTCAATGGGCACAGACCGTACTTTTTGTACTTCATTGCCATTTGGCTTCATTTCTCCTCTGCCAATTGCTAACAACACTTCATGCATCTGATGAAGTGGATTCTAGACCGTGAAGGCTCATGTCACAATAAATCTGTTGGCCTACAAGCCCCCGCCAGCCTATTGGTAAGTGTGGTTAGGTCTGCAGCCTACGTCTGTATCCAAGTCAAAGTAAATAAAATGAGACGCCAGTATAGACTTCATAAGCTAGTAATTTAACATAATGCTCAAGGTCGATCTATATTGAAATGAGCCATATAGATGTGCTGTTTGCTTTCTAACTTACCAGACAGAGAGACTTGTTGGAAGAAATGTGGCTCCAAACTGTTTTTGCTTCATTAACTAGCATTTGGCAGTTGGTTTATGACAAATTTAGTCTTATTGAAATTATCACGTAGACCATTATTATAATTATTGTGTATAGCATTCAACATCTGCTAAGGAAAATTAGATGCATACTTGATCAGTCAAACAGTACATTGGAAGTTTGCACATTCAAATACTCTCAGCTTCTTGCAGCTGATCTACATGTGAAAATAAATCAAACAGGACAATTCCTAGGATTATACCAATTGAGACTGCAGATAGCGGGTTGTTTTTCAGTGTTTCCTCCAGAAATCATTATTCACTCTTGTTTGCTTGTTTACCCATTTGATAGCTTGTGCTGCAATGAACTTGGGTTAAACAGTAAGTGAGACTTGACTTGACTCCTCTCATGCAGAAAGCCAGCAGCTCAGGCAGAACATTAGACTAGAACCTTCTACCCAATGTTAGTTTTCTGTGGCAAGGACATTACATTCAGACATTCTGTTCCCCATCTGAACTATAAAATGGTACAGTCCCGGGCAGTGGTTTGGTGGTAAATTTAGAAGTTCAGGAGCTCCTCATCACAACCACTACAGCCACATTTTAAAGGAAAGTAAAAAAAACATTCAGGCACCCATTTTGAGACATCATTTTATATGCACACACTGAAGAGCAGCAGTACATAGCATAATACCCACTTTATTAGAATCTTCATAACTGCAGCAATGCTATACATAGTTTCTAGGGTGTAAAGTCTATTGAAATCAGTGGTGCTTAACTTCTGACTGCATAGGTTCAATATGTAAAACTCACTGAACATTAACAAAATACCTTCAGTTGGCTGAACTGCAACCTTTGCCTTTTAATTACAAAAGCAAGCAGTCTTGCAATGAACAGTTTGCCATTTAAATTGCTAGCTTGACATGGGAATCCCATCAAAGAGGCCCCCACCCTCTGTTTGATTATTATTATCATCATCCTCTGACTTCTATGCTAATCTGTTGCAAAGAAACTTGAAAGCCTCATTATCACCTCATTCACTTGCCACAACAAGGCGATTTGTTAGTTACCACGATGCTCCTCCAGATAACACCATCCCTCCTGCTCTGAGCTGCAGTCTGCTGCATTTGCTCTCCACTATACCAAAGCCTGGCTTGCTTTGGTCCATGGGGTCACGAAGAGTCGGACACGACTAAACGACTAAACAACAACAACATACCATAGGTTCGAAAGCACGTCAAAGTGCAAGTAGATAAATAGGTACCACTCCAGCGGGAAGGTAAACAGCATTTTCATGCACTGCTCTGGTTCGCCAGAAGCAGCTTAGTCATGCTGGCCACATGACCTGGAAGCTGTATGCCGGCTCCCTCAGCCAATAAAGCGAGATGAGCGCCGCAAGCCCAGAGTTGGAAACGACTGGACCTAATGGTCAGGGGTCCCTTTGCCTTTTTATACCATAGGTCTTGGGAACTCTAACATCTGCCTGCTTGAACATGCAAACACAGAAGTTCATTTCAGCATCCTACAAACCCTCACAATCCCTTTAAAAAACAAGAAGATAATTCCTAGTTCTTACAGTTCTGCAAGTAGGCCATGGTCAAGCGAACTATGCCAAAGAATGCTCTTGGCACCCCCAGAGTGATTTTGGATACTTGCTTTTCTCAAACATCAGCACCTCAGTCCTACACGGGAAACGCTTTGGAACCTTGGAGGAAATTCAGAAATGGTATGTGATACAGCACAGGAAATCTTCTGCTCTGGGGTTGTGGGGGAGAGATAAAAATGCTGCTGGATGACTAAAGTGGCCTTCTGGATTTCATCCAAAAGCTTGAAAATCTATGTCAGTACCTGAGGAATCCTCAGCACAGCAGAGGTTAGTCGATTAGGGCAAACGAGGCACAGCTTATATTTCAAGCATATTCTTAGCCACATCTCACACATCATAAAGAAACAATGCAGGGAACATCAGCAGAGTCTTGTGGCACCTTAAAGGTAGTGTAGTCCTACATACAACTGCTCAGAAACACATCCTATTGCGGGGTTAGATAGGACTTCTAAGTAAGAGTACATGGGATTGCAATTCTAATCAATGATTCTCTCTGGCAGGGTGCCCTACTTAGAATATACTCAAGAAAACCATCTGATATAGATGCACTCTTAGGATCTGATCATACAGCTCAATTCTTCCGCATGATCATGTATGAGGGTACATTTTACTGGACACCTGCAAATTCTGATATGAATACAGTCATAACTTGGTTCTTGAATGGCTTAGTTGCCGAACAAATCAGCTCCCGAACGCTGCAAATCCGGAAGTAAGTGTTCTGGTTTGTGAACGTTTTTCGGAAGCCCAACGTCCACCGCGGCTTCCGCTTGAGTGCAGGAAGCTCCCAATCTAAGCTGCACCTTGGTTTTCGAACAGTTTTGGAAGTCGAACGGACTCCTGGAATGTATTCAGTTCAAGAACCAAGCTACCACTGTAATAAAGTTGTTTTTAAAAAATAGACAGCTAATTATATTCTTTCCACTTTCTCAGCAGTGTGCAGTATTAACAGGACATAGCAATTTATAATCAAAGTTCATATTAAGCAAGAAAATACTGGACAGGCTCATTTGTTTTAGTGAATTGCTCCCAAGCAATGGACCAAGCTTCACTGGGAGGTTGCGCTTTCTGCCTTCCAGGAAGAGCATCGTGGTAAAAGAGAGACCAGCTTGGCCCCATCCATTGGCCAGAGGAGCAGCAGATGCAGGGGGGCTTGCTCCCCACCTCCCTGCCAGAAACAACACTTGGTTTCACCTGCAGGTTGTTATGGGACTTCAGAGGTTCAGGGGAACAAACTTACTTTGGTCCCTTCTGTCAGCCAGGTGACATCAGGACTGGTGGATTATATGGATTTGGGGTTTGTGTGGTGTGGGTGTGATCACAGTCTCTTGAGGACCGTTCAGATGCAGTAGTAGCCAGTGTGGTGGGCAGACCTGTGGAGCCAACCTATGTTGGCAACTTTGATGGGACCAGAGGTAGGGCAACTGCAAGGTCATACAATGGTGGGAGTCCCAGAGTGGCTCGGTCTACCAATGTACCTACCCAGCCCCAGTCAAACCACTGCCCTGCTCAGCCCCAACCAAGTGCTGATGGGAAGAGGGGCAGCTCCATAACTTTGTCCCACGAGACTGTCTACTGCTGTTCCATTGAAAGGTGGAAAAGAAACCTTATCTAAGCACATAAAGGTAAAGGACCCCTGGACAGTTAAGGCAAAGGCGACTATGGGGTTGCGACGCTCATCTCGCTTTCAGGCTGAGGGAGCCGGCATTTGCCCACAGGCTGCTTTCCAGGTCATGTGGCCAGCATGACTAAACCTCTTCTTGCGCAGCGGAACACAGTGACAGAAACCAGAGCGCGCGGAAATGCCGTTTACCTTCCCGCCACAGTGGTACCTATTTATCTACTTGCACTGGTGTGCTTTCGAACTGCTAGGTTGGCAGGAGCTGGGACAAAGCAATGAGAGCTCACTCCATCTTGGGGATTCGAACAGCCGACCTTCTGATCGGCAAGCCCAAGAGGCTCAGTGGTTTAGACCCGCATCCTGTACAGTGAGCTGGCTTGGCCATTGCAGAGAATTAGGCTTGTAATCCTGCTTCTGTTGCATCCTTTGGACACATTCACAGCATACATTGAAAGCACATGACGTTCCCCCCCCCCAATAGTCCTGGGAACCATAATTTGTTGGGAATTGTAGTGTGTGGGTGTTCTAGCTTAAATACTATTGGTGATTGCTGGGGAGGAGGGTAAGGGAAAGTTAGATACAGTGGTGCCTCGCAAGATGAAATTAATCCGTTCCGCGAGTCTCTTCGTCTTGCGGTTTTTTCGTCTTGCGAAGCGCGGCTATTAGCGGCTTAGTGGCTATTAATGGCTTAGCGGCTTAGTGGCTATTAACGGCTTAGCGGCTTTAAGGAAACAAACTCACAAGAACTCGCAAGACGTTTCGTCTTGCGAAGCAAGCCCATAGGGAAATTCGTCTTGCGGAACGACTCAAAAAACGGAAATTGGTCTAATTCGGTAGTGGTGTTCAGTCTTTTTTTGCAATCATTTTAAAATTATGTGAAGAGAAAATAGAGAGGCATCTGATGTGAGCTATGGTGCATACGAAAAACTCGCTAGATGAAAGGGTTTTCCGTTTTTTGAGTCGTTCCGCAAGCTCACATCAGATGCCTCTCTATTTTCTCTTCACATAATTTTAAAATGATTGCAAAAAAAGACTGAACACCACTACCGAATTAGACCAATTCTTCTAATTTGTCTTTTTTAAAATGCCAGGATTTCATTTTGTTCTGAGATCTTCTCCAGCTCACAAGGATACTCCTGTCTTTAAAGAAGTAAACGCAGACAAGCTGGAACGTTCTTTCCTGTTGAGCATGTTTCTCCCCTTTTATTTTGCAGGTCAATCACGCGTTCTTATTACCGAAATTCGGTAGGAGGCTTGCTGGTGTTTGACATCACTAATCGGTCTTCTTTTGAGCATGTGTACGATTGGCTTCAGGAAGCTAAGATGCATGTGCACCCTTTCCAGATTGTGTTTATCCTGGTGGGGCACAAATGCGACTTGGAGACACAGCGCCAGGTCACGAGAGAGGAAGCTGAGGAACTGGCATCCGCCTGTGGCATGAAGTACATAGAAACATCAGCCAAAGACGCCACGAATGTTGAAGAATCCTTCACCGTTCTCACTAAAGACATATACGAACTTGTGAAAAAAGGAGACATTTCAATGCAAGAGGGGTGGGAAGGGGTAAAAAGTGGCTTTGTTCCAAATGTTGTACATTCCTCAGAGGAGGCTACCTCACTCGGAGACCAGTGCCCTTGCTAAATCGCTTGCATGCCAAAGAAGCGTAGTATATCAGGTGTCTGGAGAACAAGGCCCGGTTATACAAAATATTATATATGAAGATGCATTAGATCAGGGGTAAGCAATATCCACTGAGTTGCTTACAGCCCCTACAGTACTTATGTGTGGCCTGCACTCTCCTATAAAGATCCTGAGACTCACAGCTTTTGATTAAAAAGCAAAGTACATTTCTGGTAATTAAATATGGGGTGGCAAAGATAATGAAAACAAAGAGGCAGGTTGAAAAAAAAAGTCTGGATGATTTGTTTTCCACTTGTGATTTTTCGAAGTATATCTCAAAGATTTCTTTTTAAAAAAAAAAGCAGTCTCAGGTTTCTTCAGCCTTTGTTGCTAGTTGTTTTTCAGAATGTTGAAACAATGGGTTTTTGTCACGAGAAGTGCGGCATATCCGCCACCCTGTAGTTTTGCGACCACTCTGTGCATGAAAATGGTATGCAAATTACATGAATTATCTGCAGCAAAAGTCGTGCAGTTCTGCAACAATCCTCTGGTTCCTCGTGTATTTTTTCGAGGAGGTCCTTGATGCTTTGATCACGTTGCATAAGCCTACATGGGATCATCAACTCTGTTTTGAGATTGTAGTGGCCTATCCAAATCACAGAACGGAAGTTACCGGTAAATGTTTTGCTTATTTGTATCATATAATAGGGAGCTTTATATTTCACAGTGAATCAATTTGCCTGGCCTGGACGTGATACGATTTCCAAAAAATGGTGCAGTGTATTCTCAACCCCCAAGAGCTTTGTACTGCTGTCCAACCCTCAAGGAGGGGGGGCGGGTAATTGCAAAACTGGGGAAGGGATACTGGGCAACCCCCATACATATCCTCTAGACTCTCTCCCTGCAACAATGCTGCCAGCAACAAAGCTGAGTATTTCATAACTATAAAGCAGAGGCAGCGAGACTCCAGGAGGTGGGAGAGGCATCCCTCCTAATTTCCTTCCTCCAGGAGACATTTAACTATTATATTTATTTGGCACTTTTCTCACTTTAAGTTGCCAGGGACACATTTATTCTGCATCCAGTGTGCTCCCACCGCTGGCTTTCGAAACCTCAGCCACAATGCATATCTACCCTGCCATTTCTTGAGCAATACTGCTGTTTGCTGTGTTTCCCCTCAAACTGGATTTGATCTGAATGGAAAACTGAAACCACATTCACTGTGCTGTTAAGCTAACGTGTGTACATTTGAGTCTGCCATTGCACACGCACGGATGACGGGTGATATAGGAGTTTGGAATTGGTGGGGAAGCCAAACATTTAACGTGCGTCAGATAAAGACATCCCTGCCTCCTTTCTGATGTGCATGGTGGCTGCAAATGTAAATAAAATTCAGTGGGGAAAACAAGCTCTCTTGTGTTTTCAGCCACTAATGTGTGCATAGGCTTAAACAAGTCTATTCCCGATCTTCCTTTGCCCTCTTTCCACCCTTTTATTTTTTTTTCAGCCGACCCGTGACTGTCTCAAACTGCTCTCAGCCATAGATTTGACTGGAGACAGTCTGATCAACTGGTTTCTTTACACTCTTCCCCACTGCCAGCTGATGTCAACATCTTGTAACGTCATGGATACCTGCCAGGATGTTATTAGGTTTTTTTATGTCATTTTTTTTAACCTGTGTATTTCTGCATACCTAGGGAATCCCCTGACTTCACAGAAGCCATTTGCTTATTTTTGAGTGGCCTCCTCTTTCACTTGAAAACCACTGCTTTCATTATGACTCGAGGGAACAATATATATAGATATTTATCACAGAAAAAAAATGCTTAGCAGCAAGGTGTTTTCTACAATGCTCTTATTACTGTTTTTATTATGTACAAGCTTTTAAGACATCACATTTTGAAAAGAGGTTAAAATAAAACAATGGACTGTACTGTATGCCTGATGAATCCCAGATTTGATTCACTTGGCCTTATTTCTGGGAAACGGCCTGTTGAAGAGTGTTGCCTTGTTCTGTCATCTCTTGTGCGACTTTGCTGCAAACATTGAGTTTTCCTTCCCACCAGGGCCTCTCCACTGAAATGGTGGGGAAGCTCCATGCATGTATGGGAAAGCTTATACACACAGGTAAGCCCTGTGCAAATCATAGCACATATGGGCTTTGCATCAGTGCCATGTACTCTTCTATTGCATTCCTTTGCTCATGTAATAAATGTATAGGAAGTAAACAGAATACAGTTGTGCCATCACTTTTGATATTCCTGTAGCAATGGAAAAAATGTTATAAAGATCAATATATTTCTGAATCTTTAAAAGTGCATGGAAAAAACAGTGTTTACAACAACATATTTTCTCTCAGCGATCTATGTAACTACTGGTGGCTTAGATACTACTGGTGGTATCCAAAGTATGAGAAAGTCATCCAGCCATGATGGAAATCGTGACCAATCCCTTCACTAATTAAATACAGAGGATCAACTCCTGAAATAAAACTGGAGACTTTTGATTTAAATTTGTATTTACGTTACTGTGCTTTCATTGTATAATTTCACCTTTGATCAACCTTATGTTGATCAGCCTGCCATCTTGGCATGCAAGTACTGTATATCCCAGAGATTTGATTTCTGACATGTGCATTATGGAAAAGTCTGCAGGCACAGGCAAGAAAGCATGGTCTCTGCAACCATTGCCATAGGAGCAGTAAAGAGTTGCCACAGGAAGTATGAGGAGTCAGTCTGAAGCCTTGCTCTTAGGAAACACGGATATTTTCCTCCTGCTCTGTCTCAGCCACATTTGGAAAGAGCACAAAGCACAGCAGGAAAAACTGGTCAAGCTAGAGGGACCAGAAGCCAGTTTAAAGGAAAAATTCTGACCACCTGTCTACTGGCAGAAAAGTGTTGTAGTTATACCTTTGTAATTTCTAAGAGCATGCCTTGTGAATCACAGTTGGATCAGAGCAACTCAGCAGTCAGTAGTGCCACACTTAGGGGAAAGTGTACAGCTTTTGCATTAGGCCTGCCCTAAGTTCAGTCTGTAGTTACATGTTCTTTCAGAGCTAGCTTGGAAAATATTTCCACATGCACCCCTGAGATGCTGCAGTCAAAAGTAACTCGCACTGGACGAAATGGACCGATGATCTTGCATGGGCGGTCACCAAAATGCTTAGAAGAGATGTCTCTTTTTGCCCCTTTGTGCTTCCTATCACCTACCTCATCCAGCTTTCCCAGGAATACTCATGCACACACATATATCCTTGTGCAGGAGTATGTTATTTCCACATCGAAGCTTTTGGTGTAAGTTTCCTTGTGTGGCATTCCTTGAGTGGCATCTGTCAATTGTATGTGAGTGGAATTAGGTAAATATATTCAAGAGATGGGACGCGGGTGGCGCTGTGGATAAAGCCCTACGCGCCTAGGACTTGCCGATCGAAGGCCGGCGGTTCGAATCCCCCGCGGCGGGTGCGCTCCCGTTGCTTTGTCCCAGCGCCTGCCCACCTAGCAGTTCGAAAGCACCCCGGGTGCAAGTAGATAAATAGGAACCGCTTACTAGCGGGAAGGTAAACGGCGTTTCCGTGTGCGGCTCTGGCTCGCCAGATGCAGTGTCACGCTGGCCATAGTGACCCGGAAGTGTCTGCGGACAGCCGCTGGCCCCTGGCTCTATGAGTTAGATGGGCGCACAACCCTAGAGTCCTGGCAAGACTGGCACCGTCCGAGGAGGGGTTACCCTTTACGCTTTACCCTTTTATTCAAGAGATACTTCTGTGTATCAGATTTAAACACCAGAAGAATTCATACCATCACCAATCATTTTCAAGGGGGTGGGGAGAAAGATGCAGTTTGCATTGTTATAGAATGCTATGGCTCAAAAGACTGGGATGCATTTACAATTCTCAATATGAAGTTCAAACTGCACAGGTTGTGGGTGATGGGGATGTTAAACACTGTAGAGCAATTTATGCAGCATGGTCTCTCAAACATAATTTACTAGTTTTTATTTCTGAAGTTCCACTGAAGCATTCAGCTGGGAATCATAAGACAGCGCTCACACTTCCTGCTGTATTTATCCAGCATAATTTCTGATGGTATAGTCTACTCAGTAAATCCTGCTGTGTTTGTTTATTTATTATATCTATAGTTCACCTTTCCCCCAAGCAGTTCAAGCTGTCATATATAATTCCCACAACAATTGCGTAAAGTAGATTAGGCTGAGAGTAAGTGACTGGCCCCCAGGGTCACCCACTGAACTTCCAGGCTAAGTGGGGATTCAAACTCCCGTTTCCCAGGTCCTTGACCAACACTCTAACCACTACTTCACACTAGCTCTCTATCTAACTGGTGTTCACTGGGGCTTACTCCTATGAAAGTATACTTGGGATATTATCCGAAAAGTACTGACTGCAATGGCGTAGGCTGCAATCCTATACCCACTTGCCTGGGAGTAAGACCAACTGAATGCAGTAGAATTAGCAGTCACGAAATTAAAAGACGCCTGCTTCTTGGGAGAAAAGCAATGACAAACCTAGACAGCATCTTAAAAAGCAGAGACATCACCTGATGCCCTACTGAGTGTCAAGAAGACTGCTCATATATTGATCCATAGCAGATTCCAACATACAGTTAGAGTAAAAAAAATTAGCACATTGCAGGATTCCCCCCAAAATTGACCAGAGGCAATTAATATTTCATCCAGCAGAGCTGAAGGCAAATGAGCAAAATGGCCACAAATCCATACATTTTCAGTACAGTGGTACCTCAGGTTACATGCGCTTCAGGTTACATATGCTTCAGGTTACAGGCTCCGCTAACCCAGAAATAGTGCTTCAGGTTAAGAACTTTGCTTCAGGATGAGAACAGAAATCGTGCTCCGGCGGCGCGGTGGCAGCAGGAGGCCCCATTAGCTAAAGTGGTGCTTCAGGTTAAGAACAGTTTCAGGTTAAGTACTGACCTCCGGAATGAATTAAGTACTTAACCTGAGGTACCACTGTATTGGCGTTGTCCATAAGAAATTCAGTTGCAGCAGACTTAACTTAAACTTACAATAACTTACAATAAGACTAAAACCTTAACACTATATACAGAACACTACACCAGAAGGAAAGAGAAAGTGAAACCCTGGCTCCTTCTGACCTTATTATTATAGTCAGCATTAACATTGACAGAAGGAGATAAGAGAATCAGTTTAAACTAGTTATACTCAGCTTCTCTGAAGGAATAACCCAAACACCAGGAATCTTCAGCTTGTTTTTAGGCAGAATAGAAACTTCCTTGTCAGCTAGGAAACTACCAGCTTGCACCAGCTTGTACCACACAGAGAAGCTTCCAGAACCCTCTTGAATCAATTAGAATAAGAAAGATCTCTACACTTTAAACCAATACTTTCTGCACCAAGAAACGCAAACTGACAATGAGTTCCAGAGCATGGTCTAAGAAGGACACGTGATGTGGCCACCTTGCTAAAGCTAAGCCAGCCTGCATCAGGCCAGGGTCCTGGATGGCAGACCCCTGTAGACAGTGTTGATTTCCACGATGAGATATGCAATATAAATATAACATAGTAACACAACGGCTTACTATATGTGCCATGTGCCCACTTATGAGAACAGGATGCTGGACTAGGTGGGCCTGATCCAGAAGGTCTCTCCTTCTGCTCTTACGGAGCTTCTGAACCAGGCCCAGGAGCAGCCCCACACAGAGCTCATTGCAGCAATCCAGCCTCAACATGGACTGCAATGGTCAGGCTCCCCCTGTCCAGGAATGGCCGTAGCTGGAAAACCAGATGATGCTTCGTAAAAGGCACTCCTAGCCAGAGGGCACTTGGGCCACTAGTGGCAATTACTCCAGCTCAAGTTGGTGATGTAGGTACCACCGTACATTAATTATTTTGCTTAATGTCAAAATAGATTTCTATCCAGTTCCCAGCATATAAAGACCAGTTACACCCAATTACACAATGTTGTTGTTGGCATCTGTCTGTCTCAGGACACAATGGAGGAGTGTGCCTTTGGAGGTGAAGCCAAAATGTTCGGAGGCTGCAGCGCCCACCGTAGAGACCAATACCGGAAAGACATGTTTTGATGCAGCTGGGGCAGAGGAAGGCACATATAAACATCTACCTGTCATTAAAATACACAACAAAACCATCAGATTAAAGTATACATTGTGGCAGTGAATCCTGGAAGACTGGCTCACTGCCTTGCTGGCCTTTTCCTATCTGGCCTGGGACTGACTCCAGCTACAAAAGCGGAGGCTACGGAACAGTATTGCTTAGGAGTTTTATTGTTGCAGCTACAAAATAAAAAAATTCCTTCCAGTAGCACCTTAAGAGACCAACTAAGTTTGTTATTGATATGAGCTTTCGTGTGCATGCACACTTCTTCACATACCATTGTTGCTGCTGTTATGGACATTAACGTTTCGTATTTTTATTTTCTAGATCTGATGATGATATAGGTGGAAATTGTTCTGATTCGGCCGTGTGTTTTTCGAGGCGTTATATTTATTGCTTATAACTGACTATACTCTTGGAGTCCCTTCCGACTCTAAGATTCTATGGTTTTATTTAGCTGAGATTCCTGCATTGCAACGGGTTGGACTAGATGACGCTTGGGGCCTCTTCCAACTCTATGACTACCTTTTTTTTTGCTACGTTCGCAGTTGTGGGCAAATCTATTATTATTATTATTATTATTATTATTATTATTAGTGTAATGTTCTATTTTGATTTTATGTATATTGGAAGCCAGCCAGAATGGCTGGGGGCAACACAGTCAGATGGGCGGGGGTACATATAAATAAGATTATGACTACAGTGGTACCTTGGTTCTCAAACACCTTGGTACTCAAACAACTTGGAACCCAAAAACTGCAAACCCGGAAGTGTTCCAGTTTGCGAACTTTTTTTGGAAGCCAAACATGCTCCGTTTTGAGTGTTACGCTTCCGATTTGAGTGCCACACTTCCTTTTTTTTATAATAAATTTTTATTAATTTTCATCCAGTTATACATTTTAATCCGAATACAACAAATTATACCTGTTTTGAACTTCCTTCAGTGTCTCTGATAGTCATCCATTTTTGTATCTTGAGTGCCACACTTCCATTTTGAGTGTTACACTGAGGTCTGTCTGTTTTTGCTATTTATTTTGCATTTTTGCGGCTCTTTTTGTTTTTGTGACTGTGTGCAACCCAGCTCAGCTACTGATTGATTGATTGTGTGACTGCACTACATTGTTTATTGCTTTCATTTTATGGATCAATGGTCTCATTAGATAGTAAAATTCATGTTAAATTGCTGTTTTAGGGT